GGTTAGACCCCCTCCCCCTGGTACAAATCCTGTACACGCCCCTGCCGAGCAAATTGCCAACATTGAAAAACGAACCCCCCCCCCCAATATAAAGCTGGCTACGGGCCTGGCCGCAGGAGTTGAGCAGGTCTGTGGCAACTGTACGCGGGATGAGTAGGCCTACTACTACTAGAGCGGTACTGAGTAATGTGGCGACTCGGGTGAGTTAGAGAACTTTAGTACTACTGACCAGTACTGTACTACTACTAGTAAGTAGTATTACTAAATTTATCTAACTAACACATACTATATATACAACAATTCATGATAAACACACCTCTTACTTGCACTTGCATGCCGAGTGGTTACATTAGAGCTCATTGGAGCCGGTAATTAAATCGTATTACTATTAGTATTATTACTTCCTCAAAGACATTTTTGTTCCCGCTCAATACACCAAGCCAGCAGGTGTCAGCACCGTTCAGTGGTTTAGTGTGGTTCAGTCTGTGGTTCAGTCACCGAAAAGATAACAGCTTGGCGCCGACTAGCGGTGAAGTGAGAACAATAATTATATATACTTACACAATAAATAACGATATATACAAAGTATATTCTGTTCTTAGGTGTTAACCATGCAAGGGTCAGCATTAGGCTACAAAATATCTGTATGCGGTATCTGTCTAATACAGCTCCTTTGTGGTAACATCCTGAGCGGCTTAATCTACGCCTACGGCACACCCGGAAAACCAGAAACTGTGAACGGTGGCGTCTGCTTAGCTGTGCTACACACGTCACATGATTGTAGTCTATCTGGAGTCTATTACGTTACGTCATAATCTAAGAATATTATGTTCTCCAGAATTTCGACCCATGTTATAACCCATTTCATTTGTTAACTTTTACCAAGACTGAAATGCCTTTTCTAGTGGAGCTAGTAGTCGTATACATTGTGGTACCTGAAGCGCTATAAAATTTCAGTCGAATTTCAAAAGCAAAACTTAGTTGAAGCTCTTTCATTTTTAAATCATATTATTTGTATCAGATGCATCTTGTGCCTCAAATTCTGTAGATATAATAGCACCCAACATGTGTCCAGTTTTGCAGTGCAGATGTATTGCATGTAATAATTTGTCACGGTTCCACAAATGTGGGCTCGCAAGTACTAGTAATAGACAAATCTGTAGCCACTTTTTGCATTGTGATCACTACCGAATTTCCTACTTTGTGCAGCTAATCTGTCCAGAACCTATACAAAGATAAATCACAAAACCGCAATGACAATGGGCACATGCCATTTCACGGCAATTTTCACCATCATAGTTTAGTGTATTCAAATATGCAAACGTAGCTATGCTCCATATATAACGCTATTTATCACTTTTTACTCCAAAAGTTCTGTCTTCACCATCCCAGTTTCATTCTCCACAACAGATCTTAGGTGGACACTGTCACACTGCAGTAGGGCCTACTAGTTGTATAGACTTCAGCATTTTTAGCAGACAACTTTACAGTAGTATGTACGAAATAAAAAAGTATACAGATCAATTTGCTTTTCCTTGAATCATAAAAATCAAGAGCATAAAAATACTTTGTAGTTCACCTTTTATTTTCTACTTTGTGCTTTATAAAAAGTATTATTGATTATAACTATAAACACGTTTTACAAATGCACCTGTAAAAGGTTTGACATGGCTAACCACATTCACAAATCCTTACTATTATTGAACAAACTCATTTTGAATCACCCAAAAATTCAGTGTATGTTCCTAACAACATCTCACAGAATATACACACAAATAACCAATCATGACAGTTATAAAAGTATTAGTCTAGTGCTTCTTTCAGTATCAAATTTCAAAACCAATACAAAAACTCTGTGATCAGGACTAATGTCAGCCACCCGGTTATGAGCAACATTCTGCACAAGAAACTTATGTTTTCAACAATAGTCTAATGCATCAGTTTTTTAACTTTCCTGAATGCTCTCCCATCCTGCTAACGCCGCATGTTTTCACCGTTTTTTTTGCTCCGAAATGTCACTGAAAAAGTTCCCTGCAGTAATCTCTAGAAACAGATCGTTCATCGGGTCGCATCACCCTGTGCGTTTATAGATCACTCTTCACCTTGTTGAAATACTGGAGCTTGTCCTGTGGAGTAGGAATGATCTGCAACAGAAAATAATAAATATAGAGTACAAGTATATATAGAGAGAAGATAGATACGGAAGTATGTATATGTACTATAACGTGTTATTTCTTACATTTGTGCCATTGTACATTGTTATAATACTAATTATGCACAAATAAACATTTTTTTCATTTTAATTTGACTTTAGAGGTTTAGGGGCAGAATTTTCGCCAGAACATAGCTAGCATTTCATTCTGAAGTGACTATTTAATGACCCCCACACTGCCTCAAACAAAACAGTATGGCAACTTATCCTGTACAAACAGTACTCGACTACCGGGCTGAACCAGATAGGAAAATAGGCAATCACATATACACGGAATTACGGAATCTGCAATTCCTCGCGTGGAATTGCAGGACGGAGGGACGCATGCCACAAACGTGAGATCGCGGTCGAATGCAAGTGGTCTTGGTGGTTCTCACCGTGGGACTGCCAGGCTTCCAGCCAGCGGGGCACACCTCTCCGTGTTTGTCCGTGTACTGGAACGCCTGCACCAGTCGCAGAGTCTCGTCCACGGAGCGTCCGACGGGAAGATCGTTCATCGTGATCTGTCGCAGCACGCCCTTGTCGTCGATGATGAACAGACCCCTGAGACGAAAAACGTGTGGGTATGTGTAGTACGGCATCTCGTATAAATTTTAAACACGCACGAGCCTAAGAAAGCCAATCACTAGGATTGTGTATCAACTATGAACAGCCCCCTAACGAAAAACGTGCCAATATGTATGTGCCACCTCGTATAAATTGTAAATACACGAGCTTAGGAAAGTTAATCACTAGCCAAGCATTGTGTATCAACTATGAACAGCCCCTTACCGACAAACGCGCCAGTATATATACATCACCAGTGACCAGACACCTCGTATGAGTTGTAAACACCACAATACGAGAAAGCCAATCACTCGCATTGTGTATCAACTATGAACAGGTCCCTACAGTAAAACTTCAATGGAGTACAATGACATATATATATCACATCTTCCTACATGCTTGCACATGTGTGAATCCATAATGAAGGCATTATTAAGTGATTTTCTTTGAAACACAATGGTTTTGAAAAATCTGACCAAACAATATGTTCATAAAGAGTCTGGCCCTACCTCAATGTGTGTCCAAGGTCTTCAAGATATACTCCATAGTCCTTGGAGATCTGGTGAGTCAAGTCTGATAGCAGTGGGATTCTCATCTTTCCAAGCCCTCCTTCTTCTCTCAGGGTGTTAATCCTACAGGCAAAAGCAGTTGGGCTTCACACTTCTAAAGGTTTCTAGACAACAGCCAATTATTGTTATCAAACGCATTTTTCATTCTTCGCATAAAATTACAAAGCATAGTACATTTGAGCAGATCTTTTACTCCCACAGCTTAACACAATATACCAACCATATTATAAGGAATTCGATTATTTGTAGGGACGTCTTGATAAAAACACTAAATTGTTTATTTTAAGTAAATATTTATCCTCATATTTTAAAATTCTGCTCCCCTGTTCTAACTCCTGGTGTTATAAATAAGGTTTAAACATCAAAAATACAGGGGCAAACTGAACTCAATGGGGAGAGAGCAGTCAGAAAGCCATGCCAGGTTTGTGTTCTTGGTAGTTGCCAGTGGGCAGTTGACCGAGGGCAGTTCGCAGTTGGCTATTGAGCAGGTAATATTATCTAAATTAGTCTGGGGCAACTGCCCCCGTTGCACCCCTCCCCCAGCTATGGGTATCAGCCACTTACTAATATTTAAGGCCCTACAAGATCTTCACCAAAAGTGTCATATACAATGGGAAATGGTTAGTTTGGATAACATGAGATTACGAACAACCAAATTTCAATAATGTTTTCAAAGAAACATGCAAACCCCGCGAAAGAAGTTATATAGCTCATACCATGAACAAAAACTACATGGCTTATGTATACATACGTTCATGTACTCATACTTACCAGGCAAGGTGAGTAAACTGAGAGTCAACAGAGCAAGCAAGAACCTCTGTGTTTATTTCACGGAACTTTTCGATGGCATCACTGAATGCGATGATCTCAGTTGGACACACAAACGTACTGCATATACAAAATACCAATACATTTTTAACGTGACTCTGACACATAACTAGTATATTTATACTAACAGTATGCTAAATATTATGTAAACGAATGTATAATGAAGTTTAATTATCGCATTACGATTACAAATACCTGCCAATATAAGTTTTTAGTGACACAAAAATTTGAACAAAAAGTGAAATTTGGCAAAAATGAAGGATATAGCCAGGGCCGTAGGCTGAGCAAATGCCTAGGGGGGAGGGGGCAGTGCCGAATCCACGATTTCCAAGCGGGGGTGATAAATAGGTGGGGGGTCTGGGGGGTTCTCCCTTAGAAAATGTTGAAAATCTAGATCGTAGGAGATGGTATTTGAGGCACTTTTGAGTACATGTACAGCCTTCATTCTGACTACGACAATTTTCTTTTAATAGAACTTTTTTTGCTCCAAAATCTAGGGGGGCAGCTGCCCCCTTGCCCCCCACAGGCTACGGCCCTGATAGCTGCCCAAATATTATTATTAGGTAATGTTTGAATGCGTGAATAGATAGGACATAACTCACAAGTCTAGCGGGTAGAAGAAGAAGACAAGGTACTTCCCACGGAAATCCTCAAGCTTAATTTCTTTGAACTCGCCGTTAACGACGGCTGTACTTTCAAAGTCTGGTGCTGGCTTAGAAACTAAAATTTAAAAAACAAATAAATTATTGCTAGAACAAACCAGCTATAATATAGTAGCATGCAGTAACTGAGTTCAGCAAGTGATAGCATTATTAATGTCATTAGTACTAATTCATCAAATTGATAACTGAAAAACAACATGCTTAATTAACCACATATTCTTACAATCTGCATAAATTTGTTTACTTTTAAGCATCCAGTCATATGACTTTCAGGACAAGAAAACTGCTTGATAACTACGATAAAATAGCTTGCATATTTTAAAGTAATTTGAAATTAATCATAGTACAGCTATCAAAACAGAATTTTTGCAGGTTGCTGTCTGACAACATCATGCCACAACTTTATTTAAAAAAAAGTCAGGGGTGGAGGTAATTTGTTTTAATGACAGTTTTCTAGTGCACTATGCTAGAGCCTATTCTTCATCAAGAATTCCCCAAAATGGGTAAATATTCCATCACTAAAATGCATGTAACTCCTTACAGGAATGGAATTTTTTAATTATGTAAACGGTTATGTGTTTCTTATGACTGGGTCTATCTAATAAGTTCAAATATATTTAGGAACCATTTAAGAAAATCGCCTACTAGTACTAGGTGTAAATCCAATTTAGGCAGCTTAGGTATCACGATGTGATGCACAGATTTCTGTGTATCATCAACTGATGCACAGACTTTCTGTATATCAAGGAATGATGCAAAAACCCTAACCCTAACCCTAACCAGTAACCCTAACCCTAACCCTAAGGCCTAACCAGTAACCCTAACCCTAACCAGTGCAGTAACCCTAGACCGAATAATTCTGTCCCATATAACCTTTTTTAATTTTATATTTTGGTGAGGGTTATATTGGGACAGAACGGGGTTCATTGTAATTTCGTGAGATCGCATGCAAAATGCATGCGCTGCGAATGCGGCCCGAACGCCGCTATTGGTATAAATAGACTCCAGATAGACTACAATCATGTGACGTGTGTAGCACAGCTAAGCAGACGCCACCGTTCACAGTTTCTGGTTTTCCGGGTGTGCCGTAGGCGTAGATTAAGCCGCTCAGGATGTTACCACAAAGGAGCTGTATTAGACAGATACCGCATACAGATATTTTGTAGCCTAATGCTGACCCTTGCATGGTTAACACCTAAGAACAGAATATACTTTGTATATATCGTTATTTATTGTGTAAGTATATATAATTATTGTTCTCACTTCACCGCTAGTCGGCGCCAATCTGTTATCTTTTCGGTGACTGAACCACAGACTGAACCTAACCTGTATAATACCAGTCGTCATGTTACGCTTGACTGCGTTCGCTACACTGAGTGAGTAGTTCTAGTGAGTAGGCCCTAGCGGCCGTTACGAGCAGGAGCGGTAATCATTAACGTTAGACTGAACCACACTAAACCACTAAACGGTGCTGACACCTGCTGGCTTGGTGTATTGAGCGGGAACAAAAATGTCTTTGAGGAAGTAATAATACTAATAGTAATACGATTTAATTACCGGCTCCAATGAGCTCTAATGTAACCACTCGGCATGCAAGTGCAAGTAAGAGGTGTGTTTATCATGAATTGTTGTATATATAGTATGTGTTAGTTAGATAAATTTAGTAATACTACTTACTAGTAGTAGTACAGTAGTACTAAAGTTCTCTAACTCACCCGAGTCGCCACATTACTCAGTACCGCTCTAGTAGTAGTAGGCCTACTCATCCCGCGTACAGTTGCCACAGACCTGCTCAACTCCTGCGGCCAGGCCCGTAGCCAGCTTTATATTGGGGGGGGGGGTTCGTTTTTCAATGTTGGCAATTTGCTCGGCAGGGGCGTGTACAGGATTTGTACCAG